AACTTCGCTGACACTCTAACACAATTTTTAAACCTACCCCATACCTCTTCGACCCATTGCCTATGCTCTCATTAGCCCATCTATCCTCCAATAGCTGTTTATATCTTACCCTAACTGCCTCCTCTTTTAGTTTATAAACCTTCACCTCTCTCTTCCCTGATGCTTCTATTCTCCTGTATCCCATCTCCCTTTTACTCTCAGTGTAGCTACAACTAGAAAGTGATCTGATATATCTGTGGCCCCTCTATAAACATGTACATCCTGAAATCTACTCAACAGTCTTTTTTTTCTACCAAAACATAATCCAACAAACTACTGTCATTTCGCCCTACATCAAAATCGTGTATACTTATTTTATCCTCTTTTTCTTAAAATATGTATTACCTATAACTAAACCCCTTTCTATACAAAGTTCAATCAAAGGGGTCCCAAATTTTCATTTACACCGGCACCCCAAACTTACCTACCACACCCTCTCTAAAAGTTTCTCCTACTTTAGCATTCAAGTCCCCTACCACAAATTACTCTCTCACTTGGTTAAAAGGGCTCCTATACATTCACTTAACATCTCCCAAAATCTCTCTCTCTCCTCTGCATTCCTCTCTTCTCCAGGTGCATACACGCTTATTATGACCCACTTCTCGCACCCAAACCCCTTGATTTTAATCCACATAATTCTTGAATTTACCCCATTCATATTCTCTTTTTCCCTCCTTCCATAACTGATCATTTAACATTACTGCTACCCCTTCCTTTGCTCTAACTCTCTCAATACTCCAGATTTAATCCCATTTTTTTTCCCCCCACTGAAACTCTCCTACCCCCTTCAGCTTTTTTTTCGCTTAGGCCAGGACATCCAACTTCTTTTCATTCATAACATCAGCAATCATCTGTTTCTTGTCATCCGCACTACATCCACGCACATTTAAGCAACCCAGTTTTATAAAGTTTTTCTTTTTCCCTTTTTTAGTAATTGTATACAGGAGAAGGGGTTACTAGCCCATTGCTCCCGGCATTTTAGTCGCCTCATACGACACGCATGGTTACGGAGGAAAAGATTCTTTTCCATTTCCCCCATGGACAATAGAAGAAAAAAAAAAAGAACAAAGCTATTTAGAAAAAGGAGAAAAAACCCAGATGTATGTATATATATATGCATGTGCGTGTCTGTGAAGTGTGACCAAAGTGTAAGTAGGAGTAGCAAGATATCCCTGTTATCTTAGCGTGTTTATGAGACAGAAAAAGAAACCAGCAATCCTACCATCATGCAAAACAGTTACAGGTTTTTGTTTCACAGTCATCTGGGAGGACGGTATATATAATATAAAATATAAATATTATAAAATAATATTTTATATAAATATATATATATATAATATATATATATATATATAATTTAAAATATATATATATAATATATATATATATATATAAAATTATATAAATATTATATATATAATATATATATATATATATATAAAATATATATACGTATATATATATATACACAGTGGGGCCCCCAGTTAACGATATTTTTTCATTCCAGAAGTTTGTTCAGGTGCCAGTATTGACCGAATTTGTTCCCATAAGGAATATTGTGAAGTAGATTATTCCATTCCAGACCCCCAAACATACACGTACAAACGCACTTACATAAATACACTTACATAATTGGTTGCATTGGGAGGTGATCGTTAAGCGGGGGTCCACTGTATATATATACCATAGGTAGTAGGTTGGTAGACAGCAACTGCCCAGGGAGGTACTACCATCCTGCCAAGTGTGTAAAACGAAAGCCTGTAATTGTTTTACATGATGGTAGGATTGCTGGTGTCCTTTTTTCTGTCTCATGAACATGCAAGATTTCAGGTATGTCTTGCTACTTCTAGTTACACTTAGGTCACACTACACATGTACAAGCACATATATACACACTCATCTGGGTTTTCTTCTATTTTCTTTCTAGTTCTTATTCTTGTTTATTTCCTCTTATCTCCATGGGGAAGTGGAAAAGAATTCTTCCTCCGTAAGCCATGCGTGTTGTAAGAGGCGACTAAAATGCCGGGAGCAAGGGGCTAGTAACCTCTTCTCCTGTATATATTACTAAATGTAAAAGGAGAAACTTTCGTTTTTCCTTTTGGGCCACCCCGCCTCGGTGGGATACGGCCGGTGTGTTGAAAGAATATGTGTGTGTGTGTGTGTGTGTGTGTATATATAATATATATATTTTATATATATATATATATATATATATATATATTTTTTTTTTTTTTTCAACAAGTCGGTCGTCTCCCATGCATACTACATTTCCCGATGGTTCTCTTAACTCTTAAATGTCAAGGCATGAATAAATAGGTGTGCACAGAGACTCAAGCCCTTTCTTTGATTTTGCAGGCTGAGCATCAGGTGTCTTCTTCACCTGAGCAAATTGTGCCTCTTGTGATTTCTTTGGTGTTGGCTGTGCCTCAGCAGCTTTTTTTGTTTGTGCTGGCTGAGGCTCTCATTCTGCAGCTTTCTTAGCTTCTTAATCATCATTTTCTTCAATAACTGGTTCACCTGTTGCCTTAAGGCCATCTTGTTCTGAGGAACGGAGGAAATTCGGTTTTCGTATGCCCAAGTTTTTGTATGATTTGGTTTTTAACATTTTTCGTCAAAATTTTGTCCCAGTTTTCGTACATCCGCTAGGTTTTCGTACAGTTGAAAATGGTCCATACCAAACTCGTCCGCCTGCCCGCGTGACGCAACCACTCATTTCCTGGAATCACGCGCCTACATAAAGCATCCCACGCATTCATGACTCAGTCATTGGGTGAGCATCACCCACCACGTTCATCTGAAACATTTCATAATAATCCATTGTTTTTTGTGCTTGTTTATTGAGTCCAACTGCTAAATAACCCACCATGAGGCCAAAGAAAGTTCCGAGTGCCTGCCCTTTGACAAAGAAGGTGAGAAACACGATAGAATTCAAGAAAGAACTCATAGCAAAGTATGAAAGTGGTGTATATGTGGTCGATCTCGCCAGGATGTATGGGAAGTCCGCATCAACAATCAGTTCCATCCTGGCGATGAAAAAAGAAATCAAAGAAGCTGATGTTGCGAAAGGGGTAAATGTGTTTGGCCCGAGTGTGAAGAAATACCTCCTGGAAAATCAATTGCTACTTAAGTGCCTCCTACTCATCCTCCAGGCTTGGAAGATCAATTGTTGGATGGGTTTAGTTTTATCACATTGAAGTTCTTGCCCCCTAATTCCACTCCTCTCATCCAGCCCATGGACCAGCAGGTCATTTCAAACTTCAAAAAACTCTACACTTAAGCACTGTTTCAAAGGTGCTTTGAAGTGACGTCAGACACTGAATTGACCCTAAGACAGTTCTGGAGGAATCACTTCAATATCTTCAATTGCATAAGCCTTATAGATAAGGCTTGGCAGGGAGTGACTTCCAGGACGATGAACTCTGCTTGGAGAAAACTGTGGCCAGAATGTGTCCTTGAGAAGGATTTTAAAGGGCTTGAGGCTGACCCTGACAACCCTACACCTCATTGCTTTCTGTAAGTAAAACTATAGTTATTCTCTATAAAATGTATTTGTTGTTAATATTTTTGGGTGTCTGGAATGAATTAATTCAATTTACATTATTTCTTATGGGAAATATTGCTTCAGTTTTTGTTAGACTTTTTCGAACGAATTAATCACGAAAACCACTGTACGTACCTCCGGTCAGCTATTCTGTCATGATAGCTGACAAGCATGACATTCTTTCAATATTTATTTTATATATTTATGTCACTGGAGGAGAGATAAACCAACAGGAATCATACAGGACCTTGGAAGATGGGAAGCAACTAGTCAATTGAAGGAAAAGGATGGCAACTCCAATTCCTCGCATCATGGGTGCAACACTTAAGTCAAAGGACCTCCCTATTAGTGTTCAGAAAGTCTTTCAACCTTTCAAAATTTTCCCTTCTAAAGTCTGGCTTTTCACACTCACTACCTACTGTATTTCCTCTACCTTTAGTTCCACTAGGTACTTGAAGTTCAGGGCCACATAATCACTAGTGCCCCGAGGGTTCTCATATTCTATTTCACCTATTTCAGATATACCTATGGTAAATACTAGGTTTGGTCTTGCTGGCTCATCATCTTTCTTCCTTTGTCATGTCCTTAACATGCTGAGTCAGAATTTTTTTTCTCTAATTTCCATCAACATAGCCCTCCACGTGGGTCCCAGTTCTCCCAATCTGTTTGTGTGTGATTGAAATCTCACATTATCAGTAGCTTCAATTTAGCCCTAAATACACTCTTGGTTGCTTCTGCTATGATGTTGTCCACCGCATGGTTGTTACCCTCATGTTACTGCCTCAGTCTCCTATTATTAGGCTGTCAATTGTATACCACTGCAACTATAACTTTAGAGTCCCCTCAGTCTTAACTGATCACACTATGAAATTGTTTTCCTCTAGTCTGTTTATTCCTCTCACCTCTTCAAAACTCCATTGATTTCTAATTAATAGTGCTACTCCTCCCATTTCTTCTGTCTTTCCTTGACACTTTGTACCATGCTGGAAATACAGCATCTGATATCATTTCTCAGTGTCTCAATTGACTTTAGTGGGAAAGGGTAAACCTACAGAGATCATGCAGTACGTACATGGGAAATGGGAGGTATCAGGTTTAACATTCACTCCCCTTCCTTCAAGGGCCTCATCCAGTTGCTAATTTCAACATACTGTAGTAACATAATTTATTTTTTGTTTTTTGGTAAAATATTTCCATTTTGAACTTACCCAGTTATCAGTTTTGTTCCCATTATCTAGAAATGTGATAGTATTTTTACCTAACATATTGTCGGTAATTCTCCCAACATTAATACAGTTTTCCAGATGACCCACTAGACATTTCTTTGCCTTGTTCATGACCCCCCTGGGAAGCATGAACCACTTCTTAAGAAACTCTGCTCTTAGAAAAAAAGAATTTGGTGCGAAAACTAAAATACGTATGGTAGATAAATATTTATTAAAATGCTGATGTTCGATAAGAAATGTTCATAAGATTAATACTGAAAAAAATTATACAATATACAGTGGTACCTGGGATACGAACAGCTCAAAACGCGAACAATTATGTAAGTGCATTTATGTAAGTGCTTTTTTAAGTGTATGTTTGGGGGTCTGAAACGGGTTAATCTAATTTACATTATTCCTTACGGGAACAAATTCATTCGGTATCGGCATTCGAACAGCCTTCTGGAACGAATTAAATTCGTATCCTGAGGTACCACTGTAATTACAATGTTTTACATGATGGTAGGATTGCGGGTGTCTTCTGTCTTATATACATGCAAGATTTCAGGTATGTCTTGCTACTTCTACTTACACTTCGGTCACACTACACATACATGTACAAGCATATATATACACACGCCCCTCTGGGTATTCTTCTGTTTCCTTACTAGTTCTTCTTTTTTATTTCCTATCTCCATGGGGAAGTGGAACAGAATTCTTCCTCTGTAAGCCATGCATGTCATAAGAGGTGACTAAAATGCTAGGAGCAGGGGTCTAGTAACCCCTTGTCCTGTATAAATTAACAAATTTAAAATGAGAAACTTTCTTTTTAGGTCACCCTGCCTCAGTGGGATATGGCCAGTTGGTAAAAAAAAAATTACAATGTCTCCCCAATGCACTATTAAATATAATATGTTTTAAATCATTGTAAATCTGGTTGTAAATCATTTCACTTTAATATATTGTACCTCAATCCTGCACACAGCTTTAAACATATATAGTTAAGTGACAAAGAATTTCTGCAAACAGCAGTCACACACAGTTTTCTAACTTACATAAAAGGGTGACACAATCTTATGTATGACCCTTGCATATGTCACCATTTTGTGTAAAGAAGTGAAATGATTGTCTCAATATGTTCATTACTCATTATCTGCACATGTTAAACTGTTTAAAACACTACAGTACTAAAAAAATCTGAAGTTTACATTCCTTGATCACAGGTAAAAAAAATTTTCAGAAAATAAATATAATAGAAGATAAAAAGAATGTAGGAATACAACATTAAAAAAATATGAAAGGAAAAAATTAACCATTTCCAAATGTGTTAAAAATTTTAAACCATAAAACAGACTTGGAAAGTGCATATTACAATGTGTCTGTCTTTTACTGTTTCCTCGTCATTCCATGTCGACAATTTTGCCATAACCTCTGCATGTACTGGCTGTTGTCTTGTAGGGGTCTCTGGTTTATCATTGATTGTGCTTCCAACCGGGCCACAGTAATGACACCAAAAATGCAAAATTTAATGGAAAACTTAGGGAATTACACAGGATTAAATTTGGTGGTTTTGATTCAATTTTGCCCATTCTAAGTCCTATTTTAAGCCAATTTCATTTCTCAGTTTGATCAAATTCCTAGTTATTTCACTAGCATGCCTTTTATTCTTTTGACCGAGTGCAAGAAATTGTCCACTGAACTATCAGAACTACTCTACAAAATATCCCAAGGTTGGTAATTTTGCCAATTTTATGCAAAATTCCAATTTAAAAACAGAGTCCAAAATAAACACTAGAGGAAATCTGAATATTGATATTACTCAAAGTACCCATTCCCTCTTGGATTCCTAAGAGAATGTTTTATATAAATTAACCTTGTTATAAAGGTATAATAAAAAACTATTCAGTAGTATTAACTGCAATATAATCTTTTAATTTAAAAATTATATGATTTCTATGCCTGGCCATGTCTAACTAGCTGAGCAAGGCTTGTGTGTTTTTGATGAACAGAATGTCTTGATATCCAATCTCTTGCTTGAACCTAGAAAAGAAAAATGAGTCATCAAATTAGGCATTCAACTGTTACATAAAGGAAAACATCAATAATTCCAAAACTACATAATTATTTTATAATGAGAGTAAATTTAGCAATTACATCAGATACCAAACGTGCTGAAATCATACTACAGTAATTAACTCATGTATTATTAACAGTAGTGCACTCTTTTTACATGTCACTTGTGCAAATAAAATGTAAGTCACCTAGAACTCTCCATGTATACTTGCATTTTTTAATCACTAAAACTGGTTTTAGTCATGAGTAGTTCCTCAGCTCTTCCACTAGCATTTTGTCTGGAATGTGCAGCTTCTGGACCCTGACTAAAGCAGATGCTAGACTCATAATAGCACTTTGGGTAGACACTATGAAGTATTTTTAAAAATATTCTTTAGTCAGTCTGTTGTATAATTCACCTGAAACACACTTGCCTGCTGGAGGTGGGAAGTACAGTGCCTGCACCCTGAGGGATGGGTGGGGATGTTGCAGGTCAGAGGGTGATTTGAACTGTAATGGGAACTTATGGCAAGACAGCTAGTGAATGAATGATGGTGACTGAGTTTCCTTATATGGATCACCTTACCTTATAGTGGAATGACCCATATAGTAAAAAAAAAAAATAAACTGTTGCAGTGAAATGTACAGCATCTCTAAATACAGTATTATACTATATATATTTATCACACCAGCCATCTCCCACTGGGGTGGGGTGACCCAAAGAGGAGGACCATATTCACTGTCATTTGCTTTAATGTCTTGTCAGGAGTGTGCTGACATTACAGTTTGGACAGCCTTCCGAATTGCAGTATCATGTCCTTTAGAGTTTACGGACTGTAATTACCATCTACGCAACTCAAGTCTGGCTAACCATGTTTACCTGAATCCCTTAATAAATGTTACCTTGCTCACACTCCAACAGCACAGCAAGTCATCAAAACCATTTATCTCCAATCTGATCTAACAAACTTGCACAAGCCTGATAGATGTCCAAACCCATAGCACTCAAAATCCTCTTTTTACCTCCCTCCCTCCCTCCAACCTTGCCTAGGCAGCCCCTACCTCTCTTTTGTTTACCCCCAAATTTTTGTACCCTCCTGAAGTTTTATTCTTACACAAAACTATGCATTCCTACATACTGATACTCTTTTTTGCTTAAATGATCTCCAGCTTATGTAATCACAATGCTTAGCTAAACTTTCCTCATTATCTCCTTCTTAATTTCCTTACACTTCTAAGCTATATAAATATTGTCCTCTATTTTGTGTAACCCCCCATCCTTTGCTTATCATGTTTGTTATTATATTCATGGGGAAGCACTAAACCCATGCCAAACCTGAGAAATGAAAATAAACAAGTCTGATCCAGTGAAGAGAAGGGAAGCTCCAATTCCTTGAATGAAGAGTCTTTTATCAGAATCAAGGAACCCCTTGATCCTTAATTTCCCATAATGTTTTTCTTACTAAAGCCAGCTCTCACAAATTCTATTTGTACTACTTTCACCTTCCCTGTTACTTATTGTTACACATCAATATTTCACCTATGTCGTGATTGTGACATTTTAAGGAACACAGGATAATACCAACCACAGTCTCTGGATGACAATGCTTGAGTACCAAAGACCATATTTGAGAGGTCACTTTCATCATCTGGGGTTGGGTCAAGTCACACCAGGTCACTATACACCAAAAGAGTGAAAAAGCCAGTGGTCCACAACGTTTCTCATGAATTCCAGTTAAACTCTGCCATTTAAATAAAATTTTATATTATTACAGGAATATGAGGATAGCTAAAATTACAGGCAGCAAAGTGAAGAATGACCCTACTAGATCAACAGTAATTTTTGTATATGTACTGGTACATACTATAGTGTATTGTATACATGATAGAGAATTTTTTTTTAACCATTTAAGGCCCTCTCAGAGACTTATTCTTATGAAAAGATAGAGAATCTTTTCCTGCTCATAATGACAACAAAAGTATGAAATTTGATGGAAAACTTACGGAATTATGCTTTCGCAAAGTTAGCGGTCTCGACGATGTTTACGCATCGGTAATTTTGCCCACTTTGAGCCCTATTTTCGGCCAAATCCAGTGTACTAGTCGACAAAAATCATAACTATTTCGCTAGAACTCCGTTTTTTTCTATCGAATGAGTACAAGAAAACCACCCATTTACCGATTTCAACTACCAACAAAGTGGTCAGAATTTAGCAATTTTGCCAATTTCTCACAAATTTCAAAAGATGCCAATTTCCAAATAGGGTCCAGAATAAACAAGAAAGACATTCCTGGCACTAAAATAACATTTCCTCTGTTCATTAGTCACATCCCCACTCCCCTCTTACATTTCTTTTGCTTTCCACTTTAAATTTTCATTCTCGCAAAAAATAGAAGATTTACTGTTATGCAGACTACTGTAGTGTAGAAAAGGTATAAATAATACCAACTCACTTGTGAAAGAATATTAGATTCACCAGTTGATGTGTATTGGACGCGTGGCATGATTTGTTTACTTTTGAACTCTGGCAGAAATCGAACATTTCTGCTACTTTGAGCTCAATTTCAAGGTACTTTTCATTGTGAAACCAATCAAAATCATCTCAATTTCTGTAATATGTCTTCCATTCTATAAAATAAGACCAGGAAAACTAGAATACAACCATAAATACCATACGAAAATACAGTGCAAAGTCACTGTTTAAACCAAAAACATGGTCAAAGTTTTTTTTTTCTCATTACGCACTGTGTGCTGCAGGATTTTTTTTATACTGCGCACAATGACCACATAGACCCATTCTTTCATATGTAGGCCTACCAGCTTTCTCTTGCTAGATTTGAGGGCGCTAGAATTTATGCGTACTAGTACGTCAAAAAACCTGGCGCATAAGCCGTACTAGTACGACCGAAACCCCGAAAGGGTTAACACCAGCCATCTCCCACCAAGGCAGGGTGACCCAAAAGATAAAAAAAGAAAACAAGTTTTTATTTTACATTCAGTAATTTATACAGGAGAGGGGTTACTAGCTCCTTGCTCCTGGCAATAATAAAGACCAATAAGATTGATGAGTTTACTTTCAATGACCTGCTATTTGCAATTAAGGAATCATTAATTAAGCACATCAAGTATAAATGTAGTGATGCATGCTCCTTGTAATATGCTTAAACTTAAAACAATATTTAGTTAATATATCTCTACACAGGGAATGAAAAACCCTTTTTTTAAAATCCCAACCCCAGGTTCCCTGGACTCAAGTAATGGGGTCTCATCTTCATGAGAACAACTTGCACATTACTAACAAAAAAAAAAAAAAAAAAAAAAATAATCTATATGCAATAGTGTATTAATCTCATAATGCAGGCTGCAGGATTCTTAAACTTTAAAAAAAAATTCTCTACATTTTAATAGGACAAAATAATTTTTTTTTTACAAAATTGTGAAAACACAAGGTGATATGGGCAGTTCATGGGGGGAAACCTTTTCCTTTAGCCTTCAGCCTATTATAGATTCACTAAACCCTCACAAATTATACTATCTAACTTCTGTTTTAGTTGAAAATTCAGTTATGATACTCCAAATTTCATTCTATTAAATTTTATATATTGTAATACATACACTCATTTACTCTTTATTCCCCCAAAAAGCAATTAGTATCAAGCTAGTAGCTTACCTTTATGTGCAAGAGAATATTATGTAACAGTGTTGTACATAATTGTTCGCCTCTTGCTGTAACTTTGGGGCTCCTCCATACAGTGAATCATTACCCTCAACTGCAGAAAGAAACAGATTCTGTTAACAAGCTTTATATTCATATATCCTTATGCATGTTAAAGCTCTATAATGTTACACTGATGTCTGGGAATATTTAGCATTAATCAATTTTTTTTATGAATTTTCTTAATTTTAATTATTAGCAGTTAAGCCTTTTGTAGTGCAGTATCACACATGAAAGAGGATTTATCATACATATTTTCCCTTTTATTTTGGTAGTAGTAGGTTGGTAACAGCAAACTGCCCAGGGAGGTACTACTGTCCCCGCAATGAGTGTAAAAGAAAGCCTGTAATTGTTTTACATGATGGTAGGATAGTGTATTTTTTCTGTCTTATAAACAAAGCAAGATTTCAGTCGCTGCGCTTTTACTTACACTTAGTCACATAATATGCAGTACAAGCATTATA